TATCTCAGCAGTCAAAATTCAACCCCAAACAAGGATGAATAGGAACTATTTGTAGTTGATTTTTTTTTTCTACTTGATGCCTTTGACAGAGAAGTCTTTTATTTCAACTTCTCTAATTTGAGAGCTGATATAGGTAAGGGTGAAAAGAAAGAAACAAATGAAAGACTAAGCAAATTCTCTCTTCCTTACTTCTTGGGACATACCTGTTAATCTGAAATAAGTCACTGGGATCTTTTGGGGAGGAACTAGAATTACTCTTTGCCAATATTTAACAGTTTTATTGTTCATGGATTAAAGGTGAGCAGGAATAATGATTATGTTGACATTTCCCAATTCAGAATGACAAAACATTTGCATCAATTATTTTCGCAACCACTTCATAAAATCTCCAATAAATGTTGGTCGTAAGGCCAAAGCTGCTGAAAGAGAGAACAGGAGCCACTGTAAAAACAGGTATTTTAAAAGAAACTTTTAACAGATTCCTTCCACATCCGGTTAAAAGTTCAGAAATACATGTTATTAAAGATATCCAATTTGCTGAAACCACACTAAATACAAAGACAGAACGATTCAGTCTGAATTAGACAAAAAGGGAACTCTTCAGAAGATTTGGGTGCAATTTCTGGTATCTGGCAAAGTTCACTCCATAATTATTGCCCAAGAAAATTACTCTATTTACTCTGCTCAAAATCTATTTTTCACATAGGCGAAACATCCAAGTGTTTTTGTAAGGCATGCTTAGCATTAAAACAACCTCTGAAAGTCTACAAAATACAGGTGGTCGACGTACGACCACAAACGAGGCCAAAAATTATGTTGCTAAGCGAGACATTTGTTAAGTGAGTTTTGTTAAGTGATTTTTGCCTGATTTTAGTTGGGAATGTTGCGAATGGCAGTGATATGACTCTGGGATGCCACAACTGTCGTAAATGCATGCTGGTATTTTGATCAGTTCACTGTGGGGATGCTGTGACGGTTGTAAGTGTGAGGACGTCATAAGTCACTTTTTTCAGAGCTGTGGTAACTCTGAAAAGTTGCGCAATGCATGGCTGTAAGTCAACCTGTATGGATTTTCTTAAATCTATTTCTATTACGTATCAAGAAACCATCCTTCCAGGAGTCAGGATGTCTAGAGAGTCATCTAGGACAGGGGTAGGCAACCTTGGCTCTTTTATGACTCATGGACTTCAACTCCCAGAATTCCTGAGCCAGCATGGCTCAGCTTGGAAGCCTCTCCCTTCTCCCTCAGCGTGGATGGCTCAGGAATTCTGGGAGTTGAAGTCCACGAGTCATAAAAGAGCCAAGGCTGCCTACCCCTGATTTAGGAGGTCCTAGTTGTCTCAAATGTGTTTTTTTCCCCCCCTTCAAAAGGCAACTGGGCTGTTTTTTTTCCCCCCTTTGAGGAAGAAGAAGAAAATATTTCGCTTCTCATACAAGAAGCTTCATCAGTTGTAATGGCATGGGGGAGATGGAAGGATAGGTACTGACAGTTGAGGCTGGATAGGTGGGTGGGTGGAAGGATAGGTTCTGATAGGATGGTGGCGGAGGATAGAAGGGATTTATTTCTTTGCAGTCATCTGGTCATTAGTATTCTCTATGAGAGCTCTTGAAGCCATGGGGGTTTATCTGTGCCCTCAGGATCACCTCCATCAGGGTGCATCGGTTGTGGGATCTACTTGGAACTACTGGGAGGGCTGCACTGTAGACAGGAGATAGGTGGTGTCTTATTCCTCCCCCTCTGTTGAGGGAGGGGTGTTCAGTTCTAACATAGATGACCTCTTTTACCTATCCTTCCATCCTCTCACCATCACAACTGTTGAAGCTTCTTGGATCAGAAGCGTAATGTTTTCTTCTTCTTCCTGAGAAGATTATAGAATGCTCGCTTCCCGTGATTCAGGATACTGCTTATAAGTGCTATGTCCTTAGAGATCAAAGCATTGTTAGAGACTCCACACACCCACTTCACGGCCCATTTCTGTTGCTCCCCTCTGGGAGGAGGTTTTGAAGTATTTATAGCAGAACTACCAGATTCTGTAACAGCTTTCTTCCTTATGCCATCTGTCTGGTAAATTCGCAGGATTCTTTTTTTCCGGCATGTATATGTATATATTCAAAGCAGACTGTGATGTTTCTCTGTGTTGTATACGTGTGTGTATGTGAGAATATGCCTAATGGTGTTTTTTTTAGAGCTGAATGCAACAAAATTTTATTTTAATGCTTGTTGATTAGTGTATTATATTCTATTCAAGGGAAAAAATGGTCCAGTTGCCTTTTGAAGAAAAAGAAAAGCACCTTTGAGACAGGAGCCAAGAGAGAATAGAATAGAATAGAATAGAATAGAATAGAATAGAATAGAATAGAATAGAATAGAATAGAATAGAACAGAACAGAACAGAACAGTAGAGTAGAGTATATAGAGTAGAGTAGAGTAGAGCTGAGCTGAGCTGAGCTGGAAGGGACCTTGGAGATCTTCTAGTCCATGATTTCTGAAGGCAAGCTGTTCCACTGGATAATTGTCTTCACTGTTAGGAAGTTTCTCCTTAATTCCAGGTTTCCAACAATTGTTTCTTGTCCTGCCATCTGGTGCTTTAGAGAATAATTTGACTCCCTCTTCTTTGTGGCAGCCCCTCAAATACTGGAACACTGCTATCATGTCACCCCTATTTCTTTTTTTCTTTAGACTGGCCAAACCCAAGCCCTGCAGCCATTCTTCTTATGTTTTAGTCTCCAGGCCTTGGATCATTTTAGTTGCTCTTCTCTGAACTTTTTCCAAAGTCTCAACATCTTTTTTGTAGTATGGTGACCAAAATTGGCTGCAGTATTCCAGGTGTGGTCTTACTAGGATTTTATAAAGCAGTGCTAATACCTCGCATGATCTTGAGTCTGTACCTCTGTTTATACAACCCAGGATTGTATTAGCCTTTTTGGCGGCTGCTGCACGCTGCTGGCTAATGGTCAAGTGATCGTCCACTAGGACTTCAAGTTGCTAGTCAACACATCTGATGTAAGGATAGAAAGTAGATTCAGCAGCAGGTAGATTTTTAATTATGTACATTTAGACTTCCTTGGCCCTCCAGATTTCCAGATGTGTTGGAACAGTGACTTCCATTCACTGCCAAACAACAGGTACATCTGTAATAAGAGAGTGACTGGCCCAAAGTCACCCAGCTGGTTTCCATGCCTAAGGCGGAACTAGAATTCAAGGTTGCCTGGTGATTGGCCCAAAGTCATCCAGCTGGCTTTCATGGCTAAGGCGGGATGAGAATTCAGATTTTCCTCACCACTAGACCAAGCTAGTAGTCAAATTCAGAGCAGATCAAATTCAAGAAATGCTCTGAAAATAGACTTTGCTCATTTTGAATTCTAAACTTTGAGAAAGATTTTGGAACTTAGTAAGAACCTTTCCCTTCCCTTTATAATAATTGTCTTCTACCCAATTATAACAAAAGGTTTGCTAAACATGCAACCCTCTGCTGGGGAAGTAAAACCATTTTTTTTTCCATGCTGGTTTTCTTTCTTTGAGAAATTGAGACACGGAATGAACAGGCCAGGGACAGGGATAAAGGCTTTTTTAATTTTATCAAATAGATCTGTACAAAAGTTAGCATTAGTCAGAAGCCAGTGAACAAAACAGATAACTGACAACTTTCAAACTTTATACAGAAAAATAGATTGCATAAGTATTCCATCTTTAGCCCCCCTCTTTTGTGTTCCAAGCCCACCCACCCCACACAAATACGCATCTGTAAAGGAAAATGTGAAAACAAAAACAAACCCAAGAATATGAAACATAGAAAAGATAAGCTAGATAATCTCTGAAAGTTTAAAGTTTTATAAAGATTTGTTTTTCTTTTGAAAGGCACAAAGTTACCATTAGAATAGATGGTTGTTATATGCTCAGCATACACAAATATCAACAGAATTATTAGCCTACACCTAAGGATTAACCAAAACATAGTGGAGAATGTTAATTTTCACAGCTTTGATGAATAACATCTGATTCTTAAATAGGGCAATATTAAAGTGAAACAGTGTGGAAATTCTGCTAAAAGTGATATTTCTTCAAAAAAATAAAATAAAAAAGCTGTGACACCCCCCCCCAGACCAATTCAAAATTGTAATATTTTCAAAAATAATTTTTTAGTTTGGAATTAGCTCACAATGGGAGGAGAACCTATGAAGTTTCCTTTTTCACACAAATTCACTCAAGATGGAGTGAATTCACTCCAAATTCACATTTTGCCAGGACAGAACAGAAATTCCAGCGAAGGAGTCACAGTGCAAAATTTCAGGTTCCACCTGTTTCCTCTGGCAGGTGTCGGTGGAGATTCTCAGTCATCCAGGTCACAGTTGTTTCCATGGTACTTTTTCAAAAGGCATCTGGAGTGGGTTTTGTTTTTTTTTTTTTGGACGAGGAGGAGGAGGAGGAGGAGGAGGAGGAGGAAGTGGAGGAGGAGGAAGTGGAGGAGGAGAGGGTTGCAAGTTTAGCAAACCTTTTGTTATAATTGGGTAGAAGACAATTATTATAAAGGGAAGGGAAAGGTTCTTACTAAATTCCAAAATCTTTTTCAAAGTTTAGAATTCAAAATGAGCAAAGTGTATTTTTAGAGCATTTCTTGAATTTGATCTGCTCTTGAATTTGACTACTAGTTTGGTCTAGTGGTGAGGAAAATCTTTCTCATTCTGCCTTAGCCATGAAAACCGGCTGGGTGACTTTGGGCCAATCACCAGGAGACAGGGAGTTCTAGTCCTGCCTTAGGCAAGAAAGCAAGCTAGGTGACTTTGGGCCAATCACCAGGAGGAGGAAGAAGGAAGAAGGAAGAAGAAGAATGAAGGAGGAGGAGGAGGAGGAGGAAGAAGAAGGAGGAGAAGGAGAAGGAGAAGGAGAAGGAGAAGAAGAAGAAGAAGAAGAAGAAGAAGAAGAAGAAGAAGAAGAAGAAGAAGAAGAAGAAGAAGAAGAAGAAGAAGAAGAAGAAGGAGAAGAAGAAGGAGAAGAAGAAGAAGAGTTGTCATTGTTGTTGTTGTTGTGCTTCTCAGCCAAGAAGCGAATGGATGAGAAGCGAAATGTCTTAATTCTTCTCAAGGAAAAAAACAGTCCAGTCGCCTTTTGAAAAAGCATCTTTGAGACTCTGGCAGGTGATCTGCTTTCCTTGAAACATCCTACAGTTCTGGCAGGAAGCTCGGATCACACCTTGCCAGGTAAGATATTGTTAATTTCCTTCCGATGGGGAACACCTTACACAGTATTTTTGCACGTGTGGAATTCCTAGCGGTGGAATTTGGCTTGCAAAAGCTGCATGGTGTGAAGACACTTTGGAGATGCCACTGTGGAAGTTCTAGTGGGTCAACCACGGCCCCAAAACTGAGCTTATTCAATTTGCTTGATAAAAGCATCTATTCTGAGTTCCATTAGTGCAACCTAAGTTCCAGCCCTATCTGACTTAACAGGCAATGGATGAGAAAGTGTTTAGAAAAGGTTAACTCCATGAAACCTCTCTAAGTAGAAATTCAAAGGACAAAAATTTAGAAAGCACCAGTATGGAGGCACACTGCCCATTTGTGGCTGGAAAATCATTAAGAGAAAAAAAAAAACATGTCGCTTTTTCTTCATCTGGAATACCAAATATCAAGGTCATCCACTGACTCCAGAAAAGATGGAAAAAACAAGTCAATGCCAGGAATTCATTTCCACAACCGAGACCATCAGGTAAGCAACAGTCTTGCAAATGCAGGATCAGACGTAGGTGGGCTCCCACTACATTCTAAGGCAGGGGTCTTCAAACTTGGTCTGGCTGAGGAATTCTGGGAGTTGAAGTCCACAAGTCATCAAAGGGCCAAGTCTGAAGACCCCTGTTCTAAGGCAATGTTTCTTAACCTCAGCTACTTTAAGACACATGAACTTCAATTCCCAGAATTCCCTGGTTTGATTCTTCTTCTAACCAGGCTATGCAAAATCAACCACGCTTCTCCTACCAAGCCCTAAATGATTGTTTAGAAGCCATACAGCTATGCTGGGGCCAACAATTGGAAGAGCTCGATGAGCATTCTCTGGTTCCAGTGGCAGTCTACCTCAAATTCCAGGAGTTTGGGAAAAACAATATGGAGTGGCCGTCACCTTCATAGCACCTGGAAGCGAACATTAGCCAGAAGCAACTTGGCACAACTTTTGTTGAAACGGGGTGTGAATTCTGCTTTTTCTCCACCTCTTAGGTTCCTATATTATCACTGTTTCTTTTGAAGCATTTCTAATTTTCCTTTCTGACAGACTTTAAACGCTGCTTTTTTCCTCTCTTTAACGAGTAGTGTAATTAGGGAGATGAGAAAACTCCTCCACTAGAAACTACTTCATGGACTATAAAGTCTTTATTTTATTTAAATTTCTACCTCTTGCACAGAGTTACTTCATTAATTAAAAGGACAAAAATTACACAAAACATAAATACATATTTAACAGATTTACTCTCAAACAATGACAAAAAAATATATATATATCAATGCACTTTTTAAGCTTCCAAACAAAATGTTAATTACAGCCAAACCTTGCTCAGAACTTCAACTAAAATTAAGAAATGCTGACATTAGTTGGTCCCCAAAGATTCTTGAATGGTCCCTCAGTATGGTTAATTGAACACTGGGGATTTTTTAAAAAATCCCAGATGGGTTTTTGTGCAAGGCTGATCTGTCCCTAGTTTGCCACAAAATCTTAAGCACCATCTTCGCCTCGACCTTTACAGAGTCCTGGATCTGAAATCCAAACTCATCTCAAAGTTTTCTCACAGAGGAGTTGGAATGGATTGTCCTTCATCTGTTCAAGAGCATTCATTGGTCCCGGTGTTGTTTAATATTATTTGCGAATCAGAATAAACAAAATAGAACTCTGCCTTGGGAAATCTAAGAGATTCTATGGAGGGCAGGCAAAGTGAGAGGCACTTCGGACTATGCAATGATGCTCCATTAGAGTTCTTTGTTACTAATTATTCTCATTTCTTTGCTCCGTCTTCGTTTCTGTGTAGTGCACACTGTTGAAGGCTGGCGGGGAAGACCTGGAGAAGTGGCTCCTTCCATCAGCTCAAGGTCTCGTCAGGGTTGTGTAGACTGGCTGGTCCCAATTCGCCGTGGGGCTGTGAGAAGGGGGGATGGACAGGCTGTTGAGGATGGGGGTGGCATATGGCCGGCGAGAGGAATGGAAATATGGATATTGGTAAATGCTGGAAGAGTAGCCCGAGTAAGGATTGTAGTAGTTAGAACCCTGAAGATCTGTGTAGTCACACTGGGAGCTGGAAAAAGACCCCGTGGCTAAGCTCGGGGACACGGTGGTGGCACACGCCTGAGCAGTATAGGATCCGTAGTCCGAATGGGTTGGAGAATTGTGAGGCTGGTTGCTGTAATGGCTAGGGCTGAGCTGTTCAGTTTTGATGTGAGGCCTCTGCTGGCTGGTTTCACTGGAAGAAGGCGAGGCAGAGGCTGGGCTCTTGTGAGTCCATCCCTGGGAAGCCCCTCCAGTGCTGCCGTTGGCCACGTGAGCGTACGAGGTCCCATAAGATCCTGCGGTGGAGCTCTGCCCGTGGCTGGTTGGCATGGCAGAGTGCCCATTGAGGGGCAAGTACTGGTCAAATTCATGGATGTCAAAGGCCTCCATGTTGTTGATGACCTCACTGCTCAACTCGGAGATGTCCACGTTGCTGAAATCAATGTTCTGTCGGCCGCTTTCCATCAGGCGCCGGCCTTCGTGCTTCAGCTCTTGCTTGCCCCCAGGGTGTAGGTCGGTCTTAGGGGTGGTAGGTGGGGTAGGAGGCCCATGGGGCTGCCCTAGAGGAAAGTGCATTTAAAACAAAATCATCGTCTTATAAGTGGAAGATGGTTTAGCTTAAGCGCCAGCCCTGAAAGATGTAGGGCAGTGGTTCTCAACCTTTTTAATGCCGCGACCCCCAACCGGTCGTAAGTCGAGGACTACTCAACTGGTGCAGCACCGTTTGCAAAATGGGACTTTTGGCGGGCTCAGCAGGGCAGAGACAGCCTGGACAATTCCTATTGGCTTTTGAAAGCCAATAGAATTAGACTCTATTCAAGAGAGTCTATTCTATTGGCTTTCAAAAGCCAACAGAATAAAAGGGAGTAGCACAGCTAAGGAAAAGGGGGAAAATGGCGGACTGCGTTGTTTGGCGACCCCCGTGAAATGGTCATTTGACCCCAAATGGGGTCCCGACCCACAGGTTGAGAACCACTGATGTAGGGTGATCTTATTTAATAAAAATAAAAGAAGTAAGAAGCTGATCTGCAGAAAAGCAGAGGATCATCCACTCTGGAAATCAGCTTGGGAAGTCCTGCTATCAAAATATAAAAGAAGCTTGGCTGCAGGCCAGGCCATTATTTCTAGAGGTTACACACCTACCAGGAAAACATTAAGCTGGGATGTTGAGGAGCAGGCGGGCTAATTTTAACAGAATAACAGAGGGGGAAGGGACCTTGGAGGTCTTCTAGTCCAACCCCCTGCTTGAGCAGGAAACCCAGTGGTGGGATTCAGCCGGTTCACACCACTTCAGCAGAACCGGTAGCTAATTTTTTTGTTGCCCAGGCCCAGAATGGACTTCTGGAAGTGGCATCCACACAGAGAACTGGTTGTTCACATATCTGAATCCCACCACTGAAGAGACCCTATACCAGGCGTAGGCAACCTTGGCTCTTTTATGACTTGTGGACTTCAACTCCCAGAATTCCTGAGCCAGCATGGCTGGCTCAGGAATTCTGGGAGTTGAAGTCCATGAGTCATAAAAGAGCCAAGGTTGCCTACCTCTGCCCTATACCATTCAAGTGGTTGTCCGATCTTTTTTATTATTATTTTTTTATATTTTTCCAAACTCTCCCCCATACATATACCGTGATATTTATCAGATGTTAACATACATTCTTTTTACATTCATATATAAGATACTTTTGATAAAATGAAATAAATACACACACATGACTTTGGGTGTTGCTCGCCCATTTCCCCTTTCACTGTCTCCACACTCCTTCTTCTCTACCTTCTTTCTCCCTTTCTTCTCTTCCCTACTTCCCTCTTCTTCCTCTCCTCTTCTCTTCACCACTCTCCTCCCCTTTCTCCCCACTTCTCCTCCAACCTTCCTACTTCCTTCTCCCCTCCTTTACTCTTTTCTCTCTCCTCTCCTTTCTTCCCTCTCATCCCTCTTCAGATACAATTCAGGGGTAATGTCAAAGCAACTCCTCTCTCCAAATTTCCCTATCTGTATTATATACAATAAGATTAATTTTCTCTTACATTAATACTTCTATTTATCTAACCTTCTCGGTATATACGTCTATAAATATTTATACAACCTCCAGTTATTCAATCTCCTTTTGAGAGCCTCCAGTGATGGAGCACTCACAACTTCCGAAGGCAAGTTGTTCCACCAATTAATTGTTCTCACAATTAGGAAATTTCTCGTGAATTCCAGGTTGCTTCTCCCCTAGTTTAGTTTCCATCCATTGTTTCTTGTCTTGCCTTCTGGTGCTTTGGAAAATAGTTTGTCCCCCTCTTCTTTGTGGCAGCCCCTCAAATATTGGAACACTGCTATATTTGAGGGGCTAAGAAAAGGTAAGGAGCAACCTGACAAGCTTGCTTTCTGGCTAATGTGGGCTTATGATGTGGCAACCATTTGGCAGAGCACCTACAGTGTGAACTTAGAATTCCAGATGTGCTAAACTAGTGGTTCTCAACCTTTTTAATGCCGCGACCCCCAACCGGTCGTAAGTCGAGGACTACTCAACTGGTGCAGCACCGTTTGCAGAATGGGACTTTTGGTGGGCTCAGCAGGGCAGAGACAGCCTGGACAATTCCTATTGGCTTTTGAAAGCCAATAGAATTAGACTCTATTCAAGAGAGTCTATTCTATTGGCTTTCAAAAGCCAATAGAATAAAAGGGAGTAGCACAGCTAAGGAAAAGGGGGAAAAAATGGCGGACTGCGTTGTTTGGCGACCCCCGTGAAATGGTCGTTCGACCCCAAATGGGGTCCCGACCCACAGGTGGAGAACCACTGTGCTAAACAGAAGGAACATGGGAGAGACCAATTAAGGGTTGATTGTACAGTGTGGAATATCCAAAGCTTTACCTTCCACCTTTGGGCCAATTTTAAGATGTGTGGACTTCAATTTCCAGAATACCCCAGCTGGCACTGAAGACTACACATCTTAAAATGTCTAAGGATGGGAGACACTGATTCTCTTACATTCAAGCGAGGATCTGATTTGACCTGCTTTGCAGAATGAAGCTGAGTGTGCACTTTGATCTGATGAATGAAATTGGTTCAAATTTGTGAATGGCAAGTTTGAGTGCACCTATTGTTTTATGGCAGTTCAGTGCTTTTTAATGGGCTTTTCTATTTGCCTGGAGTAAACCAATTTAATACGAAAGGGATGCAAACCCAGGGCAAAGTCCATCAAATCTTCACACGGATTCAAAGATGCCAGACCAGAAGTCCCAAATCCATTCAGTGGAACGACTTGCTTCTAGAACAGGGATTCTCAACCTTGGCAACTTTAAGACTTGTGGACTTCAACTCCGTGAAGTTGCTTATTGGGGGAAACCAGGAAGTTGCTTATTGGGGGAAAATATACCTTTTGCAGCCTCCTGACAAGCAAAGTCAATTCTGACAAGCAAAGTCAATTATTCAGATTCACTGAATAACCGGGTTACTAGCTTAATCGCTGCAGTGATTTACTTAACAACCGTGGCAAGAAAAGTCGTAAAATGGGACAAAACTCATTGAACAACTGTCTCATCAACAGAAATTTTGGGCTCAATTGTGGGCCTAAGTCAGGAATGCTGGCTCAGGAATGCTGGGAGTTGAAGTCCACAAGTCACAAAAGGGCCCTAGTTCCCCACCCCTGCTATAGGGTCTCCCGTAGAATGCATAAAGATACCTGCATGGGGGCCCTGCTCCCAAGACCCCTTGGAAGGGAAAGGAGACCCATGTGCAAGAGCTGTCCACAAACGTGTTCAGCGTGCACCAATTTCTGAACACGAATATACTTTTAGCCCTCAGCTGTGGAACTGAGCACAGAGCCACAATGCCTTGGCTATATGCCCAGGAGCAGAAGGCAGGAATGGAAAAATTCCAGCTTTCTTGCAAAAAAAAAAAAGACTCTGAGTAGAAGAGAAGCAGAGAAGAAACTGCCAATTTTATAGGAGGGGGAGGGGGATATTCTCAGATTGCAGTCTGTGTTGGCCAAGGCACCTGGGACAGTTCCAAAGAAAAAGTGGGAGTCCATGGGAAGCATCCCGCAAGCGCCACCGTTCTGGAAGGAGAAAGGCCCCAGAAGTCTCATGGAGAAGGACACCTACTCTATCAAACTGGATTGATTGATTGATTAATGTTCGCACGGTATCTGGAATTGAGCCTTTCTTTTCCCAAGAAAATCATCCCAAATAGGAAATGCACCAAACAGGAGAACTTGAAATGTGGGCAGAGCTGCCGAATCTCCACCTACGTCAGTGTTTCTCAACCTTGACCATTTTAAGGCATGTGGACTTCAACTCCCAGAATTCCACAGCCAGCATTGTGGAATTGCTGGCTGTGGAATTCTGGGAGTTGAAGTCCACACGCCTTAAAATGGTCAAGGTTGAAAAACACTGACCTACGTTCATGCTATTTCTCACGACACCAGACATCCGAGATAAAGCAAATTAAGGATTCTGCCCTTGAACAAACTGTCTGCCATCTCCAGCTTCTTCCCGCCATTGGCATCCTGCGATAAATTGTAAGGGAGGGGAGAAGGAACTGGGGGGAGTTAACAGGAGGGCCTAGGGATGAAAAGGGGGTGGGAGGGAAGACACATGGACAAGCACCAGAGGTGCTAAACTGGAATAAACCAACATCCAAGGACACCTGGCCTGGGAACGGAATGTGAAACTGGATTGAGAGGCGCCATTCCCAAAACATCTTCAAGGCAACCTATTGGACACTGATGAACTGGCCAAGGGGGGAGGGACAAGGAAAAGGGGCAAAGTGTAACTTTTATGCGGGAATACTCAGATCTAGCTTTATTTTTGCTGCAACCACTTAACTTTAGTAAAAGAACCTATCACTTCAACCAAACAGAGTCGAGGGTCTTTCTTTCCTAAATGTCGTAAGTTGGGGCAGGTCTGACACAAAAACTCTTCCCTCCCCTCACCTGTGTGGTCACTGGGGTGATGCACTTCACTCATGGAGCCCAGCCCTGAATCTGATTTGTAGATCTGGGATCCTCCGTGATGGTTCAGCTCAGCTCCTGAATCTGAATCGCTCTGGCCGGCTTTGACACTTTTCCTCCGTCGTGGCTGGTATTTGTAGTCTGGGTGATCCTTTTTATGTTGAACTCTCAACCGTTCCGCTTCCTCCACAAAGGGACGTTTCTCATTTTCACTCAGCAAGCTGAAAAAAAGAGAGAGGAAAACTAAATGAGTCATTCATGTATGCCTTTAAGCCAGTGGTTCTCCACCTGGGGGTCGGGACCCCATTTGGGGTCGAACGACCATTTCACGGGGGTCGCCAAACAAGGCTGTCCGCCATTTTTTTTCCCTTTTCTTTGGCCACGCCCCTGGCACCCGGTGATGTATAAGTGGTTGGGGGTCACCACAACATGGGGAACTGTATTATGGGGTCGCGGCATTAGAAAGGTTGAGAACCACTGCTTTAAGCCAATTTAAGTCTAACACTCTTATGTAGTCCCCAAACACATAATCAGCACCCTGTTGGAGCAGATCAAAGGCCCACCTAATCCAGCAGCCTGTTCTCTCGGTGGCCAACCAACTGCACAAGGAAGCCCACCAGTCTCCCAACAGAGGGTCTTCACAGGCAGTCCCACTGCCATCAAAGATAAGAGCCATGGATCCCCCAGGACTTCTATGAATCTGTCCAAACCTTTTTTTTTTTGAAGCTAACCAAGCTTTTGGGTCAGTGAGCATCACATCTCGAGGTGTCAAATTCCAAACTTGAATCACTCGTGTTGAGTTGTGTGGTTACATACGTCCTAATTCTTCCAGGATTCAATTGTATTGGCCGGTTCTAGTATTTGAGGAAAGGGAAAATAACTTCCCCTTGTTCACTTTATCCATCCCATATCTAATTTTGTACAACACCGTCATCTCATTCACCTCCTTTCTGGACTAATAAAAAACCCCCAAACGTTGCAATCTTTGTTCACAGAGAAGACTTTCCAACCCCTTGATCACCTTAGTTACCCTCCTCTAACCTTCTCCAAGTTCCCTTATGTCCCTTACAAGATGCCCTGAACAGAACTGTGCACAATATTCCACATGTGGTCACACTAGTGGATTCTTCTAAGGCAGTGTTTCTCAACCTTGACAACGTTAAGGCATGTGGACTTCAACTCCCAGAATTCCACAGCCAGCAATGCTGGCTGTGGAATTCTGGGAGTTGAAGTCCACATGCCTTAAAATTGTCAAGGTTGAGAAACACTGCCCTAAGGGCATTATAATATTGGGTAATGGTAAGTGAGAATGACCTTGGGAGACAGGGAGAAGGCACTCAGCCGAGGAAATGGCCAGATAAAAGGAAACTTAGCAGCAGGAATGGGGGTGGGGCAAGAAGATGCTCAGAAGAGACCCTCCCTCGTTTCTTGGGCTGTAAAGGGGATGGGGGGGAGGGGAAATATACTTTTGAATTTGCAAGTTTCTGTTAATATAACCTTACAATAATGTAGACTTAGCTCCTCTGGCCCTGCTTGCTATTTGGTTTTTCTGTCAGACTTGCCACAGCGTAAACCTCTGAATAGAAATGAGCCTTGGCTCCATTTGTTGAGAAAGGTATAGTTTATTAGAAGTTGAGCGTATTGCAATAATGCATGGCCAGAACCGAGAATCGCGCGCCAAAATCCTTATGTTCAACTTTTCCCACCCTTAGCCGCCTCCCATCGCTGACCACACACACGTACACACGCACACCGTGTCCAATCAGATTGAATCAAGGTATCAGAGTTTGCCTCTACGGACACATGAGTCCAAATATTTCCTTCACTTCAAAGTGTTGCTTGTCTTCAGTGAGATCAGGAGAGGGAAGGGCTTCTGCCGGTGGTCGTAATGGGGAGGATTTGGCTGGTTTAAGCAGATTACGGTGGAAGATAGGATGTATCCTCTTATTGTTTTTTGGTCATTTAAGTCTGACAGTTACCGGGTTGATAATTCTTACCATAGGGAAAGGACCTACACATTTTCTCCCAGCTTTCTTAAGGGTTGTCTAGACCAGGGTCCCCAATCTGTGGCCATGGCCCACTATCAGGCCTTGAGATGTTCGGAACTGGGCTGCAGAAGTGGTGGCGAGCGTGCGCATCCCCACTTGCACGAGCAACAGGTGGGTATGTGCTCACCGTTCACATGGACCTATCCCATCTCCTCCTGCCACCCGGTTCACAAAGCCAGAAATGTTGGGGAACTCTGGTCTAGACCAGGGGTAGGCAACCTTGGCTCTTTTATGACTCGTGGACTTCAACTCCCAGAATTCCTGAGCCAGCCATGCTGAGGAGAAATGGAGAGGTTTCCATGCTGAGCCATGCTGGCTCAGGAATTCTGGGAGTTGAAGTCCACCAGTCATAAAAGAGCCAAGGTTGCCTACCCCTGGTCTAGACTGTAGATACATGGTGGACAAATACACTTCATCCCCTATCTTGAGGGGACGTCTTGTCAATATATTTCTTATAGGTTTTTCTGGCTTCATCCAACGCCTTGCAAACTCTTGGCCAGGGATATTAGCACCTCTCTTGTCGATATCATTTCTCATTATCCCAAACACACCGTGTGTAGAGGATACACCCTGTGCTAATACTTTCATTGAACATCATATGTACCTTGGGTCATTGAACTGTTTATCATTACTCTAAAATCTCTTTCCTCCATTGGTCCCCACAGGCTCTGATCTCATTCCTTTGCATAAGTAGTTAGAATTTTTGGTCCAAGGTACATATGATGCAAGACCCCCATCCTTCTTCTCCATGGGGTTTTAACTGCCTGTCCAAATTTGAAATTATCTCCAATGCAGAGCTCAATATTTTTTACTTAATGAAAATAAATAAGAAACCACACTTTTAAAAACTGAGATACACCAAACCAATTCCTCATGGCCCACATCACTATGTTTTACCCCAATCTCCAGTAGCACATAACAAATATAGTCACATTTTTTGTTACATTGCTTTAATATTATTTTTCCTGTTAAAGATGGCACTGCCAATGGCAGCCTTGGTGAAATGCTCTCTAGTTCTAACTATGATTTATAACCTATCACTCGCTGTTTATATGAACAGTATGAGCTTCTGAACTGGAGACAATTCCTTGTGTAGCCAATCACACTTGGCCAATAAAGAATTCCACTATTCTATTCTATTCTATTCTATTCTATTCTATTCTATTCTATTCTATTCTATTCTATTCATCATTATTCTATTCTATTCTATTCATCATTATTCTATTCTACTCATCATTATTCTATTCTATTCTATTCATCATTATTCTATTCTGTTCTATTCTATTCTATTCTATTCATTATTCTATTCTTACTCTACATTCTATTCTATTATTCTATTCTTTACATTCTATTCTATTCTATTCATCATTATTCTATTCTATTCTATTCATCATTATTCTATTCTATTCTATTCTATTCTATTCATTATTCTATTCTACTCTACTCTGCTCTATTTATTCTACAGGATAAATTTCATAACAATATTAAAGATGGTTTCTGGGGGGAAAAATGATTACAGTTTTAAAAACACAGAACAGCCAAAGACATTTCATAACAATAAATTACTTAACCTTTACAAAACTAGAAGATAATATGCTTCCAATAACAATAAATAAATATATCAATAAATAAGCAATATAACCAAGGAGTATGTTAGCATGTACATGGCTCTATCTGAAATCAACAGAACTATTTAACTGGCTGGATTCTATGGCCAAGCTTTCATTTTAGCTTTTCCCCAACCCTTTGCCATCCAGATGTGTTGTGAATGTCATGGCTGGAATTGTTGTGATTCCAACTGTTGCAACATCTAAAGACTATCACACTGGGGAAGACCACCATAACCGACATTACTTTTCGCTCCACAAACTGAGCTGGACTTGGGATCCCATGAATAAAGCCCTACTGTCAATACTGCCTCACTCCAGCTTCACACAAGGTCAGAATCCAAATGAAAACGTTTGAACTAATGAGTTTTCTTCACATTTCCTATGCTTTTAAGTATTTTAAACAAAGCTTCTAATCTTTGCGACAAGTTTAAGGGACAAGCTTTTCCTTCATAATGAACAACCCAAAAAATATCGCAACCCGCCAACGCGCCACGGCTGACTTGTTGTGGCCAACTTGCTGCAGGACAACTTGCCAAGGCCAGCATGCCATGGGACAATTCCACAATCCAATTCTTTAAAACGATTTTAAAAATGTTTTTAATTTTTGTCATTTACATTTCACTCTGTCCCTCCTTTTGCAGCCTTTAATGATCCTGTTCCATCAGCCGAAGTGGCGCAGTGGTTAGAATGCAGTACTGCAGGCTAATTCTGCTGACTGCCGACTGTCAGCAGTTTGGCAGTTCGAGTCTCACCGGCTCAAGGTTGACTCAGCCTTCCACCCTTCTGAGGTCAGTAAAATGAGGACCCAGATTGTTGGGGGCAAGAGGCTGACCCTGTAAACCACTTAGAGAGGACTATAAAACACTATGAAGCGGTCTAAGTGCTATTGCTATTGCCCTTCCTTCCTTCCTTCCTTCCTTCCTTCCTTCCTTCCTTCCTTCCTTCCCTCCTTCCTCCTCCTTTCCTCCCTCCCTCCCTTCCTAGTAGTTAGAATGCAGCATTACCAGGCTTACTCTGCCCATAGTCAGAAGTTCAATCCTGACCGGCTCCAGGTTGACTCAGCCTTCCATCCTTCCAAGGTTGGTAAAATGAGGACCCAGATTGTTGGGGGCAAGAGGCTGACCCTGTAAACCGGGAGGGCTGTAAAACATTATGGGGTGGTATATAAGTCTAAGTGCTATTGCCCTTCCTTCCTTCCTTCCTTCCTTCCTTCCTTCCTTCCTTCCTTCCTTCCTTCCTTCCTTCCTTCCTTCCTTCCTTCCTTCCTTCCTTCCTTCCCAGTGGTTAGAATGCAGCATTACAGGGTAAAATGAGGACCAGACTGTTGGGGGCAAAAGGCTGACTGTGTAAACCGCTCAGCATTATGAGGCGGTATACAAGTCTAAGTGCTATTATGAGTTGGCCATGGCATGCTGGCTGCAGCAATTTGGCTGTGGCGAGTTGTCCTAGACCCCAAAAATAATGCAATAGAAAACCAAAGAACACATTTGTTTCCTCTGTTTCTCTTTAAAAGAGAGAGATTAGTGGCTTACCTCTCAAATGTCCAAAATCTGCATCGGAGAG